GCTTCCCACCAGCCTTGGCTCCCCATTTCCTGGCGGTGGAGTGAGGTGGAGTGACGTCTGGCAGCCGGCAAGCCTGGTCCAGGTGTGCAGTAGAAAGATGGATTGGAATGCGCCTCTGGGGGAGACCTTGCCTTCGTCGTGTCTGTGCCAGCTTGCTCTGTATCCGCGGTGCCTGTGCAAGACAGACTCACCGTTAGTCATGGGAACAGCTGAGAAGTTCTGAGCAAATGCTAAGATCTGTGGGAAACACCACTGTCAGCTCTGGGGGATGCCAAGTGCTCACAATACTCAGGCCCCTTGTTAGGAAACGGGGCTTTTGGATTTCTGGTGATTGGGTACCAGGAGTCTTTTGAAGCTGATTCTTGAGCCACAGGGGGTTAGGAAGTATTTCCATGGAATGTGGTGTTTTCCTGGGAAGAACTGTGACTGAGAAGGAAAAGAATTAGAAGACATGCTTATACTGAGGGAGGAGGAAGCCCCTCATAGCCTCATGCTAGGAGCCAGCCCGACTCCTCCATGGTCCCTGAAACTGAGTCATCTGAGCTTTAATGCTTCTCATTCGACTCTACTGTTGGCGAGTTTCTCATAACTCCTAATGTGGGTGGTCAAGGGACAGGGTTAGTGGGTGGGAGATCAGCAGCTGATTCCAGCTCTGCCACCAAGCTCCTCTGTGCAAAGAAGGGGTGGAACAGATGGCCCCAACAAGCCTTTCCTTACATGAAGGAAGTTCCGTCCACTATGGGGCACAGGGTGCTCCAGCAGCTCCTAAAAGTGCGTCAGTTCCTGCTTTCCCCACTGCAGCAGCCTGGCTTGCTAGGGGGATGGGTCTTGCAGGAAGGTTGATGGGTCCTATGTGAAGGTGCCTGGTCCCTAGGGCAGTATAGGGATTTCTGTTGCCAGGGTGCTGCCCACCCAGATGACATGGCACGTCCCTGAGTCCGCACAGACTGAGGGCAGGATGAGCCACAGGACCTGGGTGCTCAGTGAAGACTGAGGGGAGGGGAGGGGAGGCCAGGAAGGGATTGCTGTAGTTCTGGGAGGAGACTGCTTAGAAGGCCTGAGAAAGCTCCTTTGCTGAGGGTTGTGTAAGTTGTAGTCCTGGCATTTCTGCCCTGAGATCTGTAACTAGGGAAGAGAAAAGAAAAGGCTAACAACAACAACAAAAAACGTCATGGCTACACCAAAAACGCCCTGATTGTCCAATATCTTCATTTTTGTGCCTTCCTTTTAGTGAGTGTACTCAGAGGTTGCAGTATCTGGGAGCTGGGATTAGATAAAAAAAAAACTCTAAATAAGAAGAAAATGTGACAGATGAAGTCCTAAGAGCAACGGGCATTGTCTGCAGGGAAATCTGCATTTTAATTAAATCCATCCACCCACCCCACCTACTCCCATCAGTGAGAAGGTGCAGCCTGGCCAGGCCCCCTGGAGACAGGATGGCGCAGTGCGTCTGTAGTGCCAGTGTGATCTATCAGGTACTGCGGCAGACAGGCCACAGCTCTGGGAGGCAAATGGAATTCCAGGGCATACCAGCTGTGGTTGGATCCCCTGAAGGAATGGACTATGGCGACAAAACCCAGGAAGTTTGGGAGGTACAGCAGCCGTTTGAAGTGGGCAGCTCTCATTCGACCTCTGATGCCCTTGACAGAGCTCTGTCTCAGGCAGCAGTGTGGTCTGCCAGCTCTGTCCCAACACAGAGGATGTGACTACCAGGCCAGGCCTGACACCAGGCAGCGTGTAGTGCCCCACAAGGCAGGCCACAGCCTGGACAAGGGGTCAAAGCAAGGATGTGCGGGGGCTGGGAACAATGGGAAAACTTGTGGCTAGGCTATTTAAAGACCATTGAACTTGGGTTCTGCCTGTTAAAATCACTGGTGGTGGTGGCTGTGTGCCGTGGAGTCGGTTCTGACTCATAGCGACCCTATACAGGGTTTCTGAGGCTGTAAATCTTTACAAGAGCAGAACACCTCATCTTTCTCCTGTGGAACAGCTGGTAATTTTGAACTACTGACCTTGCGGTGTGCAGCCTGATTCGTAACCACTACTCTGCCAGAGCTCCTTGTTAAGATCACTAGGGCTTGAGAAATGTAGTGGGAGAAAGCGTGGAGGGAAGTAAAGACCCTGATAGAGAATGCAGAGTGGGCTGTGGGAATGGCAGCCACGGTACATACTCACCCAAGCTTCCTCTTGCAGGACGGGCTCCTCTGCTAACCTGTGGGCAGCAGGGACAGAAACAAGACATAGTGATCACCATCCTGGTGCTTCTCTGAGTGTGCTCTCCTGACCCACCCACCACGGCCTTCCTCAGGCTTGCCCCATTCCCTTAGTTACTAATATATTAACTCTTCCCAACCAGATACTCTGACAGGGGTAAATCACAGCAACTGCAATGGACACAAAACAGCCACATGGGGACAAATGCTTCTCAGGAGAAGAACAATAATGAAAGGGAACCAAAGCCCATCTGGTTTTAAAAGTGTACAAGGTGAAACGGCATTAAGCTTTGAGGGCAGTATTGCTTTCCTGCAGATACATCTGCTTTAGAATGCTTACTCTTATTCTTGGCTTGATCTAGAATCTCTAACATTGCCTGGGCCCTTCAAAGCTCACGGAGGGCCACCGGTGACAATCTCCCAGACATGCACCAGGGTTCTTTAAACATGCAAATTGAATTTACAAGCCCCCAACATTGTGAATGAGAGGTTCTGGGAGAGGAGGACATTCTGAAGGACACAAGAGCATGAAATGAGGCTCAGGAATAGCTGAGTAATTTATGGCTCAGGTAATTTGGGGAAAGTCATGGCAATTTATGCTTCACCTATAGTCTTGTTTATGAGTACAAGGGGGTTTCAAAAAGTTCGTGGACAAACTCCATTATCTTTTAATTCAAAATTTCCATGAACTTTTTGGAGACCAACTCAAGTTGAGGGAGTACAAAGTAGGAAGGGGAACCAAGCAGAGCAGAAGCATATCCCAGGATGCAAAGCCAGACAGGAAAGCCAGGGAAGGAGGGAGAGGCAGCAGGTAGGTATAAAGACAGTTGGGAAGTCTAACTTGCTCCTTCAAAAGTGCCAATTTGACACTTTTTTAAAATGCAGTGGTTGAGAAGTCAGCTGTTAACTGTAAGGTCAGCAGTTCAAATCCTGCTAGCCACTTAGCAGGAGAAAGATGTGGCAGTCTGCTTCCCTGAAAGATTACAGCCTTGGAAACCCTTTGGGGCGATTCTTCAAGGGAAGCCATACCCAATTCATATATGAGATGCGGCCTCTGTAAATCCTGACCCCATCAGGACAAGATGATGGGGCTGAGCAGAGACCTATGTTTGTTTCAGGGCGATCATGGGAAAAGGTACTGGGGAGGGGAGGGGATGACAGGAAGAGAAGCCAAAGAAGCCAAGAACATTCCACATGAATGCCAGGATTTCGTTGGATTTTTTTTTTGTCTGTGTGCATGCGTTTGGGGAATGTGTTTACAGAAATGTAAATTTATCTCTGTAAATTTACCTCCTCTTTTCTTCACCTTTTGCCCTAAAACCCTCCTGTCTTCTTCACAGTCCCCTATCTAACTGGGCAAGTCAGCCTTCTCTTCATTTCTTCATAGCATTTCTGTATCTGCTCTCTGCTTTGGATCTCTTGAAGTCCACGCCTAATGTGTCATTCTCATCAGTTCATCCTAACTACTGTCACTTCTCTCCGGCCTACCTCTGACTCAATGATTTTGGTACCTGGGGCACACTCTTCTCTTCTCCCACTTTCTTCCTTGGCAATCTCTGACTCCTTGCTGACAAACTCCTGGCCTCTTAGCCACACAATCTGCCTATGGGCAAACAGTGCTCTTGACCCCATCTTCTGAACATGCTTCCCTCACTGTATCTTGTACTTCTTCCTACCCTTCTTTGGTTCTCAGAACTTTTTTCACTTTACTTAGTCTACTACTAAACTGAGCATGGGCTTGAAACTGGGGGTACCTGGGCTAAATCTAGGTGTCCCCGTGGAGCCTTGCCTGTGATTCTTCCGTCATAAGACTGAATCAAATGAGAGAGTTATATAAAGTGTTTAGTATTCAGTAGAGAGAGGAAGTATCTCTATCACATCACAATGATTTCCTTAGATTAGTTAATCTGTTGATGTCTTCCAATGAGCTAGACACTCTGGATAAAACATGAACCAAACAGGCCAAACTTCTCCCTTATGGAGCTTACATTTTAGAGAAGTCCAGTAACAGAGACACATTCATATGTGGCAGAAAATAGTGAACTCTCAAGTGTCTCAAAAGAATTGTGTTCTTTGTTCAGTATAACACAGAAGCATGAAGATTAAGAGCAGGAAGTCTGGAATGAGAAAAACCCAGTTCAAATTCAGTTTCTGCTACTTGATAGCTACATTGAGGTTACTTTCTCATCAGTAAATGGGAAATGATAAATCTCACAGGGTTGTAAGGAATAAGTGAGAATTATACATGAAAATCATTGAGTACATAGTTAGCACATAATGAGCTATGATATAGGCTTTTCACATAGTAAAACTAGGAAGGCATTAATTACTGTCCCTGCTGACATCATTCTTGCTCTGTCTTCCATGAAGCCAGAAAGCCATTGGGCTACTGTAGTCCACAAACTATCATTTCCAGTTTAAAAACTCATATTGAACTTATAATCATACATTCAAGTTTGAGAAGCAATTCTTTTTTGCCACTTATTTTTACCTCTTATTTATTTTACATACTTTAGTTTTCCTTTCCAAAGCCGATTTATAAACTTTATGAGGCAAAGGTCAAGTTTTGTGCTTTTACTGGTATCTACTTCCTGTATCCCAACCATCTATCACAGTATAGCTGGAAACCAGGAAGCTTTGACCAATCAATTGGCATTACTACCTCTAGAGTAAAGCCTGAGCTACAGTTCGGAAAGTAGGTAGAAGGAGCTGTGGAGTGTCTGAAAGTTTTGGGAAAAGGTGGCAGAGGGAAGCAAAGCAGACACAAAGGGGAGAGGGTCGTTTCATTCATGGGCTACAGCTTTGGCTCTCCATAAAAATTAGGGGTCCTACTGTGCTGCCTTTACCTCGGTCTTTCCCATTCTGCATCTTCTCCTCTTCTTCCTCTGCTGTGAAAACAAGGCCAACGAGGCCAATGATCCTTCAGCACAGCACAAGCACAGGAAGAGGGTGAAGGGAATCACTCATGAGGCTTGTGACCAAACCCTAGCTGAAGGCTCAGGACTGCAGGCCTCCAGGGTACCTACACCCCCCTATTCTGCACCGTATGTAGCCAAGCCCCAGCACTGTGTCATAAGAGCTGCCCATTCATCCTGAGCCTCTCAGAGGCAGAGAAATCTGATGGCGCCCACCCTGCTGCTGGCTCTGCCGCTAGCTCCCCCAGGTGATCGGGGAAGGGAGGGTACCAGCTACCTCTACGCTAGACCTATTTTCCCTAAGGCAACACCATTCACTGGGGACATAGCTAATGTCCGGCTTTCAGATTCAGGAAAGCAGCTGTAGCAGTGCCGAGTGGGGACCATCGAGGTTAGCTCTGGCTCTGTCAGCATCTAGCTGACAACTAGTGTCAAACGACTCAACAGCACAATGTGGTGTGTGCAAAAGGAGTGACTGCCATCCCCAACAGCTCCCACAGGCTTCTGCTCAGGGGAGAGGACGCCACGACATGTAGGAAAGTGTGCGCAGTCCTCCATGCTTGCTTTGAGAAGCTGGGTCACATTCCGGTGTGGTCAACCATGATGGCAACATGTCTGAGAATCAGGCCAGTTAGGGAGGTTGAAGGAATTGGGTACAGTTTGCCTAAAGAAGAAGACTTAAGGACAAGGTTAACCACTGCCACAGAGTCAACTCCAAGTCACAAGGATGCTATAGGACAGAGCAGAACTGTTCCATAGGGTTTCCAAGACTGTAAACCTGCCATCACATATTTGAAGAGTTAACATGAAGAAGAAAGACTGAACTCATTCGGGGTAGCTTTACAAGTTAGAACTAGGATAAAATGGGTACAGAAAGACAGATTTTGGCTCCCCATTGAGAAAGAACTTTCCAATGACTTGAGCTGGTCATGAATTAGGTCACTGGAAATATTCACACACAGGACTTTTATATGGGGTGGCAAGTTGGATTAAATGGCTTATAAGTTCATTTCCAATTCTAGGATTCTATTATTTGTGAAAGTATTTCAAAAACAGGTCAGGAGATCATACTATATGTAACAGCCACCCTGCATGAAAATCTAATCTTAAAGAAAACCGAATTTCATCCTAATGAAACTCATTATTCACAGCGACAGTAAAACTGTTGGTGTTAGACCAGCTCCTGTGCTGATGTATAAAGGAAGGATACTTTTGCATTTTTTTAGGGCCAGTGTGCCACACGTGGAGTTGGTCCACATTATCTACAGCACTTGGGGGAGAGGCACATCAGTGAGAAGGGCTGAGTAAGTAAGGGTAGTGTGGTGGTAAGAATATTGGTTTAATGCTCGTAAGACCTGAGTTCTAAGACTAGCTTTGCCCTTTTGAGCTGTGTGACTTTAGTTAATCCCTTCTCTGATACCATTCACTACGTTTTTAGTGACCTCTAAGGAGCTCTGGTAGCGTAGTGGTTACAAATCGGTCTGTGAACCTTAAGGTCAGCAGTTCGAAAGTACCAGCTGCTCTGCGGGAGAAAGATGAGGCGTTCTGCTCCCATAAAGATTTACAGCCTTGGAAACCCTGTACAGCGTCGCTATGGGTCAGCACTGACTTGACGGCACTTAACAACAACAAGGTAGCTCTGGTAGTGTAGTGGTTATGAATCGGGCTGCGAACTGCAAGGTCAACAGTTCGAAACTACCAGCTGTTCCACGGAAGAAAGATGAGGCTTTCTGCTCCTGTAAAGATTTACAGCCTCGGAAACCCTGTATAGGGTTTCTATGAGTTGGAACCAACTCCACGGCACATAACGACAACAACAGGGAACCTTCAGAGTCCTGGTATGGCACTTTAGGATAAGCACTGAACTGCTAACCACAAGGTGGGCAGTTTAAACCCACCACCTGCTCTTCAGAAACCCTATACAGGGTCTGAACCAACTAAACAACAACAAGGCACATTCTACATTATATTATTTAATTTTGTTAAAAACATCCTTTTCAAATATGAGGATTGCTAAGTTTCCCTGTAAACTTTTAATTTTTGTGAAGCTATTTGATCTCTATATGCTTTATGTTTAGTGAGTGAGGTCCAAGTACCTCTCATCATGAGGTAAAAAGTTCATGAGTTACATGTGTAGTGAATTTCCATGGTTTGGAACCCCTTAAGAAGCACTTTCTGAAAGTGGGATTTCTGGTAACTGTGAGGAGATGCAAGTGGGGGAGGTGGTGGTGGTGTGTCAAAAGTTTGTGGAATTTTTAATGGCAAGATAATGAAATTTTTCCACAAAATTTTTGAAACCCCCTCATTTATTAAGTGCCCTTTAAATCACTTGTGAAGTCATCTCCAAAGGCAATCACCTCTTCAGTTGATGTGCAGTGCTCCTGAGGGGTTAAGAAACAGTACCAGAAAAGGGAGACTGGGACTTGGAGCTCCTGGAGAATCAGTATCTTAGCCTCATAGCATTGGTAAAACCACCTGGGTCACATACTTATTTTCTGCTAAAGGAAACAGGTGATCTGAGAAAGAAGCTGTGGATCAGCCTTGGTCTGGTCCTATGACAACAACTGAAGGTGTATGCTTTCTCGACTATGCATTTTTATTTAATAACCTTGTCAGGCTACTTCAGTGTATTTAAAAGCACTATATTAGGAGTCCTGGTGTGGATCTGTAGGATAAGCAATGGACTGCTAAATACAAGAAAGGCAGTTCAAACCCTGGGCAGGGTCGCTATGAGTCGGAATTGACTTAATGGCCTTCAACGACAACAACATACTAGGTGAACAGAAACCCTACCACTGTGAAAAAAATGACTAGCCAGCAGCTTCATAACCGAAGGAATCATGGGGATTCTTGGAGATTCGATGAAATGCGAACAGCTTTTTATCTGCGCACTCTCTCTCCTGGGTTATATATTAGAAGAAAGCATGCCATGAGGTAGAGGTTTCTAGGAAATCACTGTGAGGTAGTGAAGGAGAGACTGCAACAGAAGTCAGATCAGAAGCAGAAGACTTAGGTCATGAACCTTGAGTGAAATCAGAGCCTGGTCATGGACAAAGGAAGGGATAGGGTTTCAAAATCAAATCAAGTAGGAGAAAGCAGAAAGGCAGCTTGGAGAAAGTCCAGGAGCTTTTGTGGCCAATTCGGTTCCAGACATCCAGGAAAGCTTCAGAATGAGACGGTTGGTCAGGCCTAGGAAAGAGCAGCTGTGGATGGAGCACAGATGGAAGACAAATTATCTGAGGAGAGGCCTTACTGTACTTAAAGATCTCAATGGTATTTGCAACACAACACATATTCTTAAGATTAACCTAATGCATAATGTTCTCTCTATGGCCACTTGTGGAAGAGAGGATCTCTGGGTGAAGACAGCCGGCATGTTCCTAGAAGACAAAGAGACCTGGTGGCAAAATGAGGAGTGTAGCTTTGCCAGCATTGGAAGGCAAGGAGCAGAGTGTGGGTACAGAGGGCATGAAGCGAGGCTGGGTGGGAGTTTGTGCTTCACCTGAATGGAGCTCCTTCACCAGGGATGACATGGTATTGGTGATGGAGTCAGCTGCCACCAGTAGGTCATTGCGGAGGTTTCTTCTTGTACCTGAAGAAGGTAGAGCAGATGGCAATGGCAGGGTGGGTGAGCATGGAGAGGAGACATGCGAGTCAAAGCCTCAGTTCTGCCAGGCCCCTGGACACAAGTGCTGACTACCTGAGAGAAATGGGGCCAGGCCGCTCCATCCATCCCTAGGCCATCAGGGGCATGAGGTACCCAAGTCCTTTGCTTTCCCTCCCTCTAAAGAGCAGGTTCCTACCATTTCCATGCTTCTTAGCTCCCATATGGTAAGAAAAGCTGGGCTTCAAAGCACTATGGCAAACTCTCTCTCAGCCATATACAGGACTATACTCTCTAACACTACCACCTCACACCTACTTGTTTCCCCACCCAAAAAGACTTTGTTCTGAACCACTTGGTTCTTCCCACTCAGATACATAATCTTGCTGGTCACTAGCTCTCCAGATGACTGCCGCCATGCCATGTGCCTTAAGCAAGATCCTATTTAGAGCACCACTCTTTCTTTTGCCTGTTCCCAAAGGCCTTACCGGCTAGGCACATGACACTGAGAATTATTCCTCTGGAAGAGGCAAACCCAAAAGGACTAAGCAATTCCTACAACTTGGTAAAAAGATTACAGACCCCAGGAGGCTCCTTCTTCATACACAGACATCTGCAGACCTTTCATGGAAGAGCAGCCCATATTATGAGAAGGGATTAGCACTTGGTTTATTTTCACTGATTATGAAAATCGAATTGTTTAAAGCTAAGAGCATGCACACAAAAAGAATCTGGAAAAATCTCTCCAGGAATCCTGCTCATGTTTCTAATGCCCTGCAGCTCACCGGTCGACTCTCCACCAGAAACTCACCTTGTGCGAAGGCCTCTTGCACATCTCCCCCAACCCCGCTCAGGGAGTCCTGGGGGCAGTGCGTGGGGGTGGAGCCAGCGGATGTGGAGCGTACAGGCATGGGCATTGGGCGGCCACCTCCGTGAGTGGGTGATGTGTGTGGTGATCCTGTGGCCTGAGCCTGGGAGAGTCAGAGAGAAAATATGTTATTTCAAGGTACTTTGCCTCTTTGAAGTAGGGGAAAGTCCTTTTTCTCAGTAAATTTGGACCAGCCAATGGAGCTTCTCAGTGGTACAATGCACGGTCATATTTGAAAAGAAGGAGTCAGGCTGGAGAAAGGAAAAAAAGATACGGGAAGGGCAAGAGGGTGAGAGAAGGAACAGAGGGAAAGAGGATATGGTAAGAATAGATTGAAGATGAAAAGTGAAATGAGAAGACAGCACAGAGAGATGGAGAGCTTTCAGGTAAACAGAAGAGTAGCTGGATTGTGGACCTAAGAGGACTTGGGGGGAGGTGGGGACCACACAGTTAGGAAATAATATATGTACATCTTTCATTTGTGTTTGCAAGCATTCATGTGCACAATCCCATTTGATCCTCACAATAACCTCTGAGTTGTTAGGTGCTGTCCAGCTAGTTCTGACTCATCGTAACCCTGTGTACAACAGAAGGAAACACCGCTTGGTCCTGGGCCATCCTCACGATCACTGCTACATTTGAGCCCATTGTTGTAGCCACTGTGTCAATCCATCTCATCCAGAGTCTTCCTCTTTTTCTCTGACCTTCTGCTTTACCAAGCATTATGTCCTTCTCCACGGACTAGATGTTCTTAATATAATCCTGCTTCTCCGATTACGTGCTTGGCATACAGACTGAGTAAGTATGGTGAAAGAATACAACCTTGATGCGCACCTTTCTAGTTTGAAACCATTAAGCATCTCCTTGATCTGTTCTAATGACTGCCTCTAACAGGTTCCTTATGAGCACAATTAAATGTTCTGGAATACCCATTCTTTGCAATGTTATTCATGGTTTGTTATGATCCACACAGTCAAAATGCTGTTGCATAGTTAATAAAGCACAAGTAAACATCTTTCTGCTATTGTCTGCTTTCAGACAAGATCCATTGAACATCAGCAATGACACTCCTCATTCCACACCTTCTCCTGAATACAGTTTGAATTTCTGGCAATTCCACACCTTCTCCTGAATACAGTTTGAATTTCTGGCAATTCCCTGTCCATGTATTACTATAATCATTTAAAAAAATATCTTCAGTAAAATTTTACTTGCATGTGATGATATTAATGATACTGTTTGATGATTTCTGCATTCTGTTGAGTCACTTTTTTTGGGAAGTGTTACAAATGTGTATCTTTTCCAATCGGTTGGCCAGGTAGCTGTCTTCCAAATTTCTTTGCAACGACGAGTGAGTACCTCTAGCACTAAAGCAGGTGGAAGAAATGAGGAAATAAAAGAGTTAAACAGAAACTTTCAAAGGGCAGCTCAACATTTTGCTCATAGAATCCCTCAATATTAACAATGCGAGGTTTGATTTTTTCCTTCAGTTCTTTGTGAGAAATATTGAGTATGTTGTTCCCTTTTGGTTTTCTAACTCCAGGTCTTTGCACATTTCATTATACTTGACTTTGCCTTCTTGAGCTGTCCTTTAACATTTTTTGTTCAGCTCTTTTTACTTCCTCATTTCTTCCAACTGCTTTAGCTTCTATATGCTCAAGAACAAGTTTTAGCATTTATTCTTATATCCACTTTGGTCTTTTCTTTCTTTCCTGTTTTTTCAATGACCTCTGGCTTTCTGTAATGTTGTTGACACCATCAAATTTGGGTCTTCAGCTTTGGTGTCTAATGCATCAAATCTGTTCTTGAGATGGTCTCTAAATTCAGGTGGGATATATTCAAAGTCATATTTTTGGCTCTCATGGACTTATTTTAATTTTCTTCAGCTTCAGTCTGAACTTGCCTAAGAGCAAGGGATGGTCTGTACTACAGTCTGCCCCTGGCCTGTTTTTGGCTAATACTATGGAGCTTTTGCACAGTTTCTTCTCACAGATGTAATCAATTTGATTCTTGTGTATTCTGTCTGGAGTGATCCAGGTATACAGTTGCCATTTATGTTATTGAAATAAGTCACTGGTCTTGCAAAAGTCTATCACGTGGCCATCATTAGCAACCTGAGAGCAGAAAAGAACTTCGATTCATTTAAAGTCACTTATTTCAGCCATTCAAGGTGATATCGAGGAAGCTAAGAAATGACTAGATTTATCAGAACATTTGAAGCTCAAAGATGACAGCTTCTTCTAGGTTCCTAAAAGATGACAGTTTCTTCTAGGTTCCTAAAAGCAAAATACTGAGTGACCACTGCTGAAAAGCATCTCATTTATTCACTCACTGCTTCCTAGTATTTCACTGTTCATAACTATGCAGAATCGCCCGAGATATATTTTAAAAAATCAAACATTTTCCTACAGCTGTGAATTAAATAATACAATGCTGATACTCTATTATGCTTCAACTGTTTAAACCCATCATGCCACACAGTACTAAACAGATTCATTTTTTAAAAACATCAAGATTCTTTATTATGTTAATGAAAACTCAAATCTTTTCAAAGTGTACCACTAAGAAAGGCCTTATGTTCTTATGATGAAAATAAATGTGTATAAAGTATGGATGCAAAGACCAATCACTAGCTTGAGATAAGAATCCTGGTGTCAGAGAGCCCTGGTATGGTGCTGCCATGGATGCACCAGACAGCAAGGTCAGTTTGAACCAAAAGGTTAGGGGATCAAGCTTACCAGGCGCTCCTTGGAAACCCTATACAGGTGCTATGAATTAGAACCTACTTGACAGACCTAACAACAAAGTATGGATACAAAGACAAGTCACTAGTTTGAGATAAAGATAATTCTCATGGTAAAATAGTCCAACATTTTTCTTATAAGCCTATCTCAATTCTAAGGGCTCTTGACTTCCTGCTCCTTTCATGTTGATTGGTTTACTTCAAAGAAAAATGAATGTTTCTTGGATCTATAGTCTTCTTTTTGTGTTGGACAACACCTCTCCTTTTGAAAAGTAGGTATTCATCAACATTTTTCTTGATCTTTTCTTCCTTAAGTTGCTATCAGCATTCATTTTTGTCAATTTGGAATATCTTACAACTGTATATTCACAAGAGACTGAGTTTGTGACAGCTGGTCCTTTCACGGCATGAACACTGACGGCCATTCAGGTCTGTATAGCATTTTGAATGGGGTGGGGGGAGCCTCATCTTTAGGTTTCTCAAGAGTTAAATGAACACAGCAATGCATTTAAATATACCTGTTTCTTAAAATGGTAATCCCCTTCCTGCTCAGGAAATGACTTAAGAGTCAGTTAAAATATGAAAAATAAAGGAGATTTAGTTTAGTTTCAGTGTAAGGGGCTGTGCAATTCTAAACACCAAGCATACACAATTGTAACAATGCAATATCATGCCAGTATAAATTGTACTTGTAGCATGAGGAAAAGACATAAATAATAAAATTTTAGTTAAACAGTCATCATCATATATATTTTTCCTCCTAACTGTCTAATTTTTTGGCTACTTGAGTCTTGTTTATATTGGCAGAATATTGAAAATCTTTTAAAAGCTTTAGGGAATTAAGGTTAAAGATTGTTTTAGGCTCTTAATATAGTATAATACATCATCGTTCACTTTATCACCAGATTTTGGGGTAGCAGGGTGACAGATACAGTATATAGAAGGCAGTTTTAAAGGTGACAAGTAAGTCATCAATCTGTTTTCACTACATCAGCATTAATGACTTAGAACTGACTTTAATACAAATGTTTATAAAGTATATAGAAAGTGTCTTAACACAAGTTAGACTATGGGGAAGCATGGATACATTTAGTTGAACTGTGCTTTGCTTTTGATGTATGAATTTGTGGTAAGCAGAGCAATTTATGGATTTTTCTATTAAGCATTTTTAGAAGATATAATTTAGTATTAGAAATTCAATACTTGAAACAAAGATGTCTCAAATATCAATGAGTTTATGGAGTAAAGCTAAAATCAAACGTAATATGTAAAAACAAGTTTGTGTTTATTTTACTTGAAGGATTTGCTGCTCACTGTGTCCTCATAAGTGAACGTTCTACACTGTATTTTCACCTTGCGTTTCATTATGTAGCCATTGCTTCTGAAAATCTTAATGTACTATTCAGAGGTTAGGTACTAGTATTATATTTACATTTTAAAAACTTTTGTTACACATTATATGAAATTATAGTAGTAACAATCTGATCAGTCTGAGTATTTTCAAGCTTTTAAATAAATTTTGACAAAGTGAAAAAAAAAAAAAGAAGAAGCGGAAAGGAATACACAGAGTCACTGTACACCCCACCCCCCAAAGGGCCAATGTTCAACCATTTCAAGAGGTAGCATATGATCAAGAGCCAATGACACTGAAGGAAGAAATCCAAGGTGCATTGAAGGCATTAGCAAAGAACAAGGCACTGGGAATAGATGGAATACAAATAGAAATCTTTCAACAAACTAATGCAACACTGGAAATAGTCACTCATCTATGCCAAGAAATTTGGAAGGCAGCTACCTGGCCAACTGACTTGGAAGAGATCTGTATTTGTGCCCATTTCAAAGAGAGGTCACCCAAAAGATGCGGAAAGCAATGGACAATATCATTAAAACCACATGCAAGTAAAATTTTGCTAAAGATAATTCACAAACAGCTGCAATAGTAGTACATTGACAGGGAACTGTCAGAGGTTCAAGTCGATTCAGACAAGGACATGGAATGAAGGACATCTCTGCTGACATCTGATTGATCTTGGCTAAAGGCAGAGATGACCAGAAAGATATTTGTTGTTGTTGTTAACTGCCACTGAATCAGTTGCAACTCATAGTGTCCTTGTATATGATTTCCAAGGAAGAGCTGGTGGGTTTGAACTGCTCATTTTGTATTTCACAGTCCAGTGTTGATCTACAGTGCCGTACCAGGAGTCCAGAAAGATGTTTACCTGTGCTTTATTGACTATGCAAAGGCTTTCAATTCTGCAGATCATGACAAGCTATGGACAACATTGCAGAGAAGGAGTAATCCTGGAACACTTAGTTGTGCTCATGAGGAACCTGTATAGACCAAGAAGCAATTGTTCAAA